TCTTGCATATGCAAATTGATTATCATGTAAACATTTTTTGTGATAATAGTTGTCCATTTATAACTAAAAAATACTTACGATTCCGAACGGCACCGTGTGATGCACATAAGGTGACAGCTGATGCAAAAATGACAGTCCATATCATGTTGTTACCCTATAATAGCAATAATATATAAAATAAAATGTGCCAATCAGATGAGATCAAATGCAAAAAATTTCGTCGAAATGAAAGCATACGAAGAACCATCATTAAGCTATAACTGGACCTGATATTCATTGACTAGGCTCCTAATGTATGACCACACAAATCTTAAAAACATGTGAAAATTGCGCCAAAATTGAGATAATTAGCAAATATTGCGGTTTTCGAGGAGAGGACCGTGTTATGGCTACCGCTATGTTTGCAGACTGGACAAAGAGCCCATGAGAGCCAGTGAGGAGGAGGTGGAGAAGAAGGAGGTGGAGCCAACACCCATTTTTGGGTCATCGCATGCATAATAAGGTAAGTATAATATATCAAGTTAGCTTAATTCTAAAGTTGAGAAAAGAAGATGTAAAAAACCTAAATTAACATTCTCTTTGAAGATGATGGGCGAGTTCCCAAATGAATATATTAAATTGCAAGAGTAAGCACCACTTTCAATTACAATCACATATATCCAAGAAATTCGTTAATACATTTCTATGTTAAAATAATGTTGCAATATGTCCAAAATTAGCTGCTGCTGGCGCCAAGAGTATTGACAGCATAACAGTATAACCATCATAACCATGAATAGATGGACAGATGGGCTTTTTTGGCCGCAAAAGGCAGGTGTCAATCTCTAGGATTTTTGGGAAAATAAAGCAATAAAAGCACCTCTAAAATTAACTATAGCTCATCTAACAACATGACAGCCTATAATTACAAATGCTACTGTCAATCCTGCCTGATAAGATTGCGAATATAAGGGAGGCGGATGGGATTCGCTTCACTTCACCATGAGGTTTGCCCTGTTAGCCCTTGTGGGTGTAGCCCTCGGGCTCCACACCACATTGGATCAAGTCCTTCTTAAGCCACGTACTGAGTACATCTTCCGCTTTGAAGGAGATGTTCACACCGGCATACCTCTACCAACTGATACCGAAATCTCCCGATTCGAGGCGATGGTCCACGTTCAGACTCCCGATGATCACACCGCTATCCTCAAGTTGAGAGATGTCCGCTTTGCCACAGGTATGGATGAACGCAAGGAGACCTTCAAGAGCATTGAGGACTTGAAACTCCGCACCATCGCCAGGGAGCATCTCGAGCTTCTTGAGCTGCCGGTGAGATTTGTTTACAGAAACGGCATGGTGTCCGAATTGCAGTTCCACAACAACGATGAGACGTGGTCGATGAACTTGAAGCGTTCCATTATCAACATGCTCCAGCTTAACCTCCACAAGATGGGGCGCACTGATGAGACTGAAATGGAAAGATATGAGAACGTACACGAACTCAAAAACGACTACTTCACCGTTAACGAGAGGACAATTGAAGGGGACTGTGAAGTAGCTTATACTATTGTCAGAAAGGAAGAAGATGTCACTGAGGTGACCAAATCCGTCAACTTCAACAAATGTTCGCGCCGCCCGCACACCATGTACAACTTCCGCTACCTGACTGAGTGCCGCGACTGCAAGGAGAAAAACATCCTTGAACCAAGCACTGTCTACACCTACTTGCTAGGAAGGGAAGGCATTAAGAACGTTGAAGTTCGTTCCATCTACACTTTCACCATGGAAAATCAGCCAGTGATGAAGACTGAGATTCGTGCTCACATCACTCTCGAAGACAAGCACGAAATTCAGAGAGAGTTTGAATGGAGCGACGCCAAGAAGGAAAATCTTATTTACTCCAACGAAATCGAAAAGAACATCGAACGATTCTACATGGAGGGGGATGAGGTCGAGGTTCTTCCCTACAAGAACATCCACAATAAGGTTGAGGAGATTCGAAAAATTATCGAGGACATCAGAGAAATGAGAGAAAACAAGAAGGAAACCACACACCTACTTGCTCGTCTCGTTTCCGTATTCCGCATGTGCACAATTCATGAGCTCAAGGAAATTCACGAACGAATTTACAAGAACGGCGATGTTCGTATCAAGAAACTGATCGAGCACTGTCTCTCAATTGCTGGAACCAAGAACACCATCACTCATCTGCTAAGACACATGCAAATGGAAAATATTCATACGCACAGAAT